CCTATAGCTTAGGCTTGTTTATAACTATAACTTAAATCTATAACTTAAGCCCATAACTAAAATTAACCCATATTTCTTTTCTATGTTCTACCAAGGGGCTCTGTACTTTTCCTCGGTATAATATGTTCATCTTGCTTCTCTCCCCATCTCCTGGAGACTCCACCCTTCTTCTTAACATTCTCTTTGTCCTGATAATCCTGCCCAGCTATTGGCTGATAGCATTTTACTGAACCAATGCAAGTGACATTTCTTCACATTGTGCAAAAAGATTATTCCACAACACACCAGGAGAGACACACAGGCAGACTCTGCTGCCTTCTCTTCCTCTCCTCACCCTCCTCTTCCTTCCTCTCTTCAGACTCTGGATCTAAAGTCACTGCTGGAATACAATGGCAAGAACAAGCAGGTTGAAATACAGTGGAGAGATGCTTCTCTTTAAAGCAGAGGTGCTGGCCTACAAGCACCACACAGACTTCCACAGAGACCAGGCTCCTGTGTTCACCTGCAGGGGGCGGCTCAGAAATCTCACCTGTAAATAGACACTTTGCCTTTTCACTCAGGATCCTGTCTTCACAGTGTGGTGCTTACACTCAGACTCCTAGTGTTTCTCCCTGATGATCGATCACCTGTGGCTCCAGGTGGTTGTAATAATAAAGCAGAATAATGATAATAGTGTAGTAGTAGAAGTTACACAATCCATGGCACTCTCCCTCTGACATTTTCTCACACTTTATAAGCTCATGAGATGAGGGAGATGAATGTTACAGGCCTGTGGGACCCTGAATCTGATAAAAGTTGTCTTCTGAGTTTCTCAGGCCTGTGCAGTGTAGACACTGGGCAGAGGATAATTCTCATGGCAGTGGTACACACGGGGGATTCAAGGTTTCATCCCCATTCAGTAGTGTGGAGCTAAATTAAATTTATAAACATCTTCTTTCTGTGGATGTTGACTTGATGTCTTCAAATCCCAGCCACACATAACTGAAGTAGAAAGTGAAAGCAGAGGAGAGTAGAGACTCCAGCACGGAAAGTCACATGTAACACACAGTGTGTCAAAAGTGCTTGACCAGAGCTGTGAAAACTCCAGTCACCTCCCGATGAACGTGTCCACGGCAGCCCCACATCCTCACCAGGACTCCCATAACACCTGTTTCCCTGAACATTCATTTTAAGTGCTGTGTGTATTTTATCTGGAAACTTCGTGCTCTTAGGTTACATCCTGACTAACCTGAGGAGACAGTTGTCCTTAGGCGGCTCAGAGACACCATGACACACAGCGCTCCATCCCGCAGCACAGGGTTCAGCAAAGTCTCAGTCCCCAGGCAGTGAGGTCACTTCTCCAGTTCCGGACCTGTGTGGGGTCCTTCTGCCCAGACAATGATGGATAACAAGTGTCCTGTTCTCACCCCCATTGGATGACGAGATCCCGGAGAACCAATCAGCGTCGCCGCGGTCACGGGCTATAAAGTCCACGCAGCCCGCGGAACTCAGACGCCCCGGTTCCCAGATGGGGGCGATGGCTCCGCGCGCGCTGCTCCTGCTGCTGGCGGCCGCCCTGGCCCCGACCCGGACACGCGCGGGTGAGTGCGGGGTCGGGAGGGAAACGACTCTGCGGGGAGGGCGGGGGCGGCCCCGGGGAAGCCGCGTCCCCGCATCGCCCAGCCAGACCCTCCCGCCCTTCTCCACCGCGTCCCGAGCCCCGCGCCCTGCTCCCCTCCCGGCCCGCGCACCCGCCCGGGGTCCCCGGAGGAAGGTCGGGGTCTCACCGTGCGCTGCCCCCAGGCTCGCACTCGCTGCGGTTTTGCCACACCATCGTGTCCCGGCCCGGCCTCGGGGAGCCCCGGTACATGGAAGTCGGCTACGTGGACGACACGCAGTTCGTGCGCTTCGACAGCGACGCGGAGACTCCGAGATATGAGCCGCGGGCGCCTTGGATGGAGCAGGAGCCGGAGTATTTGCTGAGGGAGACGCGGAGAGCCAAGGGCTGGGAGCAGACTTTCCGAGGAAACCTGAGGACCCTGCTGGACTACTACAACCAGAGCGAGGGCGGTGCGTGATCCTTCCACGTCCCTACGTACCGGCAGGAGTCGCCTGGGGTCTCAAGGTTCAGGAGGAGAGCCATGGACCTGAACCCCGTTTCACTTTCAGTTTAGGGGAGTCCGCAGGTGGGCGGGGCCGCGGGGCGGGCCGGTGGGCGGGGCTGACCGCGAGGTCCCCGCAGGCTCTCACACCTACCAGCGTAGGTGTGGCTGTCACATTGGGTCCGATGGGCAATTCCTCCGCGGGTACAGTCAGGACGCCTACGACGGCCGCGATTTCATCGCCCTGAACGACGACCTGACCACGTGGACGGCGGCGGACACCGCGGCGCAGATCACCCGGCGCAAGTGGGAGCAGGCTGGTGAGGCAGAGAGACACAGGGCCTACCTGAAAGATGAGTGCGTGGAGTGGCTGCGCAGATACCTGAAGAACGGGAAGGACGCGCTGCAGCGCACAGGTGCAGGGCCGCGGGCAGCTCCTCCCTCTGCCCTCGGGCTGGGCTAGGTCCAGAGGAAGAAGAAACCCCTCAGCTGGGGTCATGCCCCTGTCTCAGGGCAGACAGTGTCCCTGGGTCTCCTGATCCAGCATGGCAGGGACCGCACTGATCCCCAGGCTCAGCCTTCTCCCTGGACAGCTGCAAATCTGTCTCAGAGGAGGGAGAGGAGATCCCGACCTAACCACAGTGGCTCCT